GAAAGGTGCAGAGTGACAGATTTCCATAGAGCACATTGGGACAAACTCCATGATAGCAGATCCACTTACGAAGGGACTACCACCCAAGGTCTTTCATGAGCACACTGCTCAGATGGGTGTTGTTCTATTTGAGAACATTCCGGTTTAGGGGAGTTTGTATTATATTTACTGCTTTATGTCAGCCTTGAGTTTTATCTATGTTAATTAGATTAATTTCTGCAGAAATGAAATATTCAGTTTATTACGCTCTGTTACGTATTGTGAAGTATTGATCTCAATAAAGTTAAGTAGGACCAGTTGGAAATAGGGCTGTATGGATCACATCACATGTAATTTCCATGCTACGCATCCATGATTGATCTATGTCATTTAGTTGTATTAGTATACGTGACCATTGGTGGGTCGAGTTACGATTGATGTAACGAGACCGCTTTGATCCATAATTAATATAGTTAATGGACAAGATTGTTTGGATACCCTCAAGTTATGATACAAATTTCTGAGTCACCTAAAGTTAAGCACATTTTTCAGGATACATATGTGGTCTAGTGGGAGATTGTTAGATAATGTCTCAATGGGACTACATAATTAAATGTGGTGTTATCATTTATAAGAAGCCTACAATTTAAGTGATTCAATTTAGTTAATAGGCTTAAGGGTATATGTGTTATGGACCTAATATGTAGATACTAGTTGTATAATTTCTATTTCTATGAGGGGCAGAAATAGAAATTAAAACATATTGGTTAAAGTTGGTTTTTATTCCTTTTGAACTTCCACAACCTTCAGTTTTGAAAAATGGTTAAAGTTGGTTTTCATTCCTTTTGAACTTCCACAACCTTTCAGTTTTGAAAACCAATTACAACCTTTAAAAGGTTATGGTCCCTATTCCTTCCCCCAAGTGGAAATAAGAACACTGCCATTTTTATTTCTAAATCCTCTCAAGGAGAAACATAAGGCACCAAAGGGGAAAAGATTAGAAGGCAATAACATAATCAATAACAAAGAGTTCATTGATAATCACGCTTCCGTTTAACAGTTCATCAATGGATTCAGGTATGTCATTTTGTCTTGATTTCTTAATAATACACATGGTAAATGATCCAAATTGTAAAGTTTATATTCTGAAATTTATGTTGACAGTCCAATATTATAGAGTATTAGTTGTTATTGATAGGTGAGTGTTCTATTTAATAATGTCTTTTAATGTAATTTTACTTTAGGGTATAATTGTAATAAAAAAAATTATAAAATAGAGGGTCTAAAGAATTTTAACAGATGCTAATAGCAGCACTCTAAATTATCTTTAAATATAATCTTGTTAAAAAAAATCATAATATAAAGTCACAAATTAATGTGTATAAGAAGTTAAATTGTGATATGATACGTGATTTTATTTGATTTTTATAATAATAAAAAAAATTAGCTCATAAAAATGCTTTGAAAATAAAAAAGGACATATTTGATAAGTTGACAAAAGTCGCGATCATAGGTGGAGAATGGATAGATGTAAATCTGATAATGGAAATGACCAGAGGACCATTAGAAGGTGGTTAGATGTTTTAGGCGAAAACTAGTCCATTATTAAAACTAACCAGAGGTAAGTGGTTGAAGGTGGTAAGAGATAGATAATAGAGTAAAAATTTATTTTGAAAATAAGTGAAATATCTTTTTTTGTACTAAAAATTTTGAAAGTAATTTCACTTTTTTAAAAATAAAACAATAATAGAAAATAATATGCTTTCAATTTAAAAGAAAAAAAAGAAAAAAAACCGTGTAAATTACAAACAGCAATGATAGAGACTATTAATTTTGGAACTTTAAAAAGATCACTAATGACATGACGCTCAATAAAAAAAGAGAAAAAATACAACACTAAGGCCAAAACATCAAATCATTCCTGGTGGAACCTACTGCCACATCATTAATTAGTGTTTTCACTCATTTTCTAAATTACAAAATAAATGCCCAAACCACAAATGATTGATTCGGGTTGTGGGTCGTACCCGTTTATATAAAGTTATAAACTTTATCGTTATTAATATTATTATTAAATTCAATTCGAATTTCGAAACCGCCTACATTCAGTTTCAAAAAATTTTTCCTTTTGCATTTTCGTTCTGTCTCTCTCTTTTCTCTGATTCGATTGAAGAATTGAAATCAATCTGTGCCTCTCTCTCTTTGCGTTCGATTTCTACTTTTCGATCCGTGAATCGATTTCAATGGACGAGAGCGAGAAGATTGATCTCGAACTCAAACGTTCCATAACCATTCACGTCGATGTCTCTTCCGAGAACAACAATTTCATTGTTGCTTCGTCTTCGTCCACCAGTTCCCTCTGTGAAAATCAATCTTCAGGTTGTATTCTTTCCATTTTTTATTAGATTGAATACAGCAGTTGTTAGATCAGCCTCTATCGAGCCCTATTTTCATGAAATGTGGCTAATTTGAAGCTGAATTTTCTTTGTGATTAGGGTTATCAAGCATTGGATATCCATTCTGTTCAATTTATTTGTTTTTTCATAAATTTAAGAGAAAAAAAAAGAGTCAATCTTGGAACTGATTTTTCTTGGTTACTGCAATTTGGTTCTTCCTGATTTGTATGAGATGAATCTGAAAGAGTATGGAAAGGATGAAGGGAATTTCATGACAATTCTAATGAGATGGTCTGAAGGGAATTTCATTAACCAAACAAGTTTTAAATGCTTTAGTAAAGGCTACATTTTGATTAGCACAATGATGAATAGCTAAATGACCCATTTTGGGACTCTGACATAGTTGGCTGGGGTTTTTGGTTTGAAGTTTGAACTAAAACTTTTTAGCTTACTAGTTCCCAATGTTTGTTTTATTCTCTTTACCTTGTGCGCTGAAGCATTCTAACCTGCTTTTGAGTTGAAAAGAGTATTGTAGATATAAGGAGGGAGTTTGGTCGCCCCATGTATCAAAAGTTTTAAAAAACGGATCTTGGATAGGAGCTGAATCCATAATATATGGGTTACTTCCAGACCTTTCGTACCAAATGACCAACAATTCAGCTAGACTGACCAGCCATTGCCTTCTGTTGATCTTTTTTGGTGGCTGGGCATGTTTTGGTATAAATTATTGCATCATCATTCAAATTAGATCAGTAGGAAAATTGATTAAAGGAAAAATAGTACCACCCAAGGAGGATAGCCAACATCATGTTATGGCACTTACACATTTCAGTTTCTTAAATTCAATCTCTTGGTGTTTGTTCTCCTTAGTTGACAATCCCTTGTCTTTGGTCCATCTAGTGGGTCCTTCTATAACAACTTGGGCAGCAGCCTTAGCCATGGTTCTTTCTTAAGTTCCTGCTTCATTTGATGTTGTATAAGCTGTGGTAACTATATCAAGGGTATTGTATTGACCCCTTTGCTTATCTCTCTGTCTAATTTTTAGTATACTCCTGCACTGTGAACACAAATTTGAACTGCATTGTCGGCCTCCATTGTCAGCTTTCTGCCATCTTCTCACTGGGTATTCATCTTTGGATGAGTCGGGAGGTGGGTAAAAGCTACAATGACTTCTGTGATAAATTTGAAACAATATGTTGACACAGCATGCAGTGGGTTGCAACAGATTGCTAGCACTTACAATTTATTTTCAAACATTCTCTTTATTCAACAAGACCAGTGAATGGTGTTGTTTTCCTTACATTGTAGTAGTAAATATAGGTTATGTGTGTGATAACAACATTTTCTTCATCTATTTTTGTATTTCTTATGATTGCTATCTAATGTTCCAAATTGGACTTATTTTAATATGTTATTCAGAAAATCAGAGTAACAATGCAAGTTCTGAGTTGCTGGAGGTTGCCAATGCTGAAAAAGTAGTGGACACAGCAGATGTCAATTCACAGATGGAACATTTACCTCCATCTGAGTCATCGGAGCCTGAAGGGACAAGAAAAAGTGGCAAGTGTAATTTGCGCAAAAGTTTAGCGTGGGACACTGCCTTCTTTACTAGTGCAGGTATGCTTAGAGTTTGAAACATCCTTCTATTCTTACGACATTACTTCATTTCTTATATTATGTGCAAATCTAAGCTCGTCGTTACAAATTTATTTTTTTGTACATACCAGGTGTTCTGGACCCTGATGAGTTGTCTAGCATGATCGAGGGAGTTGACAAGGGTCGAAAACATTTTTTACCTGGAATTGACGAGGAAATATGCAGATCTACTGACTCACTCTCTACATTAGAAAGTGATTTGACACTGGAAAGTCTTGAAGCTGATTTGTTTGAAGACATCAGAGCTTCAATTCAGAAATCCAGTAAAGCATCTCATATGGCAAGTTCTAGTAAAGCTCCATCAGGAGAGGCAGAAACCCAACCTATCTGTAGTAAGTATAATAGCAGTTTTATTATTTATACATGGCTAAAAGAAGTAATCTCTGTTTCTGTTTTGTCCATTGGTTACTGCCTCCATGTTGACATGCATGGTTTTTAGAATATTGCAGTGATATGAGGTCAGATAGTGGTGTTTAGTCTGTAGTCACTATATTCTTTTCTTTTCATGAAGATGATCATTTTACATTGAATCTGTGTGTGGTTTGAGCCAGCAGAACAGACTTCCTTTTTTATTTTTAATTGTTTTCTGAGACTAAATTGGTTGCCATAATACTTAGCCAGCACATATTATTGATAATTATTTTTGGAATAATGGTTACATTTGCTTTGCAGCTTTAAAGAAGGTGAACCTTACTTCTAAGACTATGGTAAGTTCACTGAATAGATAGTAGCTTTTAGATGTGGTTGTTTTTTCGTAAATTTTCTCAAGTCTGAATTATGTCTTCCAAAATTTTTAGATGAACCCAAAACCTGCCTCCAAGAAACCAAACATTGGCATGCAAGGACCAGGGAAATTGACAAAGCAGAGTTCTGGTTTTTCACAAGGCACTCAGGCATGTAGTTGTCTATTACACTAAAAATGCTTTGACTCTACTTTCTCATTCTACATTATGCAAATGATTAGCTGTGTGAATTATTTGGGCATTCTGATTGGAAAGGATATTATTCAATTCTTGGTTGTAATAGTTGCACTACATTTCCATGCATTATTTGTCAGATCAAAACAAAAAAGATCCATGGTTTATTTGACTAATTTTGATCTCATTTTTTATCCTTGTTGGAATCCTTGCATTTGGGAGATATGCTGGCTTTCTAATTTTGGTTTAACACGTAGGTAAACCAAAATTGATGTGCAACAGTCTCATACAAATTATTTCTAATTTGCAATATGGTTTAACTGACACCGCTTGTATATTGTCTAATTAAGCCTGTTGCTAGAAATGGGGGCCCAACTTCATCCCTTGAGAAGGCACCAAAGGTAATTGGAAGGCCTAATCCCATATCGTCAGCAGCGCTGAAAAGATCTTCTTTGTGCGGCAACCAAGTTAAAAGCGAAAATGATAAAGAAAAAAGTGCATCTGGTAAATAGAACTCCAGTTAATTAAAGTTCTTTTTTCTTTACCAGCAACCAAATAATTTTGCTCTAGTTCTAAACTAAATAGTACCTTTTGAATGATTGTGACAGTTCCTGGTAAAGTGGCTCCATCAACAAAGATACATGGTTTGGGTGGTTCCTGTAGGGCTGTGCATAAGCCCGCATTATCTTCAAAAGCCTCCTCTTCTAGTTCTTCAACATTGAGCAAGACAAAGCCACCACCAAAATCCTCTTCCTTGACTGATAGTTCTGGCAGTGCATCATCTGCCAATGTCGGTATATCTCCTGTGAATTCTACTAGAAGAAAGATTGTTTCCAGCAGCGTTAACCCAACTTCCTCCAGTTCAATCCTCAAAACACAAGCAAAGGTTGCATTGAAGAAAAAAGGACAGTCTGGTCTCTCAGCTTGTTTAATGTCATCAAAGCTTTCTTCTAATAATACATCTCCTGCTAGTTCTATTAGTGAATGGTCCTCAGAATCATCTTCATCAACTTCTACTGTAAATCAGAGGTCTAATACTTCAAGGGCTAGCATTGATACTAGCTCTCCTTGTACATCCCTAGATAATGGTGCCCCAAGTCCTTTGGATCATCGTAACCAATCTAATGATCAAATCTCAGATCGACATGAAATTAAGGCAACTAGACTATCTAGTGAAAATGTAAATACAACTTCAATGCAGACTGGCGCACATGTTCGACCAGATATGGTAAAACCCTCAGGTCTGCGAATGCCATCACCAAAGATCGGATTTTTTGATGGGGTTAGTTTACTTTTGCTATTACAAATGCTTCTTATTTTGATATTTCTTATTTGGAATTGGTTTTTTGCCAATGTAATTCTGTGGCAATAAATGACAATATGAAGAATGCACGGGTAAAGCCTCTCCATTAGGATTAAGGAGGTTATTGTTCCGTCTTTTTTTATTTATTTATTTTTTTTCTATGGAAAATATCAAATTGGCAAAACCAACTCCTGTACTATTGTCAAAGTTCTAGAATTTGCTTTGTCAGGCGAGTATTATATGGCTGGGATGTCTATGTCATGCAGGTTCGTACCCCTAAAGGAAATCCACAATCTATCTGGCATTTCCTGTTGGTGCCCAAAGATTGGACCTGTGAGGGTGTCGTGCCTAGCATCGGTAGCTCAAGTGTAGGCAACTCAAGCAAGGCAAAACTTTCAAAGCTTCAACCTGCAAGAATAGTGACAGCAACTGGGAACATGAAGCCCAACACTCGAAAACCTGTTTCACCTGTACCATCTCAGAAACTATCAAATGCTTCCACAAAGGTCTCTAGTGCTTCACAGGTTGTAAAGAACTGCCCTAGCGCATCACCTCAAGTCCATAATGAAATGAATGGAGAAAGTTGCTTGAAAGCTGAGGAAGTAGGACCTAAAGGGCCCAACGAAGCTAACCCTGTTCCAGATGCTGGTCTGGATGCTGAAACAACTGGAAGTTTAGGTGTCACAAAGAGTGAAATGAAAGTAGAAAAACAGCGTAATACCAACTTAAATGATGTCAAGATTGCTCCTATTGAAGGATATAGCTTTGATTCAAAAACCCATTGTAATGCTGAAAATATAAAGCTATCTGAAGAAGTGGGTGAAGATGCTATTTGTGGCTTACAGAATCTCAAGGATAACTTGTGCTCACTTTATAAAAGGAATGACAAGGAAAACACCACCCATTCTGAAGATCAAGTCGATGGTACGAGCATCCAAATCAGAACCAAGGACTCAAAACAGGAGCTGCAAAAAGAGCTCATTGGCAATTCTATTTCTCAAATTGATTTCAGTCACCCAGATTCTGGCCAAAAGGAGTCACCAAGTAATTTGTCAGGGCCCACTCTGATCTCTCTTTCTCCGGCAACCATTGAAATTGCAGCCCCCACAAGGACTCCTTTTACTGTTAAGAATTCTTTCTGCAATGGTGAGGGGTTTGACCTTTCAGCCAAATCAAGCACTCGGGTGGTAGAGAAGACGACATCGTTACCTTCTGTAGAAAGTGCTCAAACTGAGAACAGTTAAAACAGTTGTCATGCCCACATTTTACTTGAAGGTACATCTTTATGGACTACCAAATACATATACATGTTCAATAGAATTATAAGGGATAATGCATTTGAAGCACGGTCCATTTATTTGTTTCTTTCAATTTTCTTTGAATGAGATTTCAATAAATTCCCTTTGAAGTCCTCTTAGAAGATTTTTATCATCAAGTTTTTTTCATAAATTTTTTTGTATCTTGTTGGCGCAGCAAAATTTCTGTACAAAGATGGAACAGTTTGGACAGAAGCTTCCTTTGAGTGATAAAAATTGTAGTGCATTTGCATAATGTCGTACACTGGTGCTGAATTTGAGGGCTTTTGGTAGGGTTTGCCAGTGTTGGGACAAGGACTATGAGAGAAACCGAGTCATCCAAGGAAGAAAAATGTATTTATGCTGTGAAGTTAAGTTCTGAGTTTGTAAAATGACAAGGTTGTTGGTAATTTATGTGATGTCTTGGTGTTCTTGTGATAAAAGTAGTACTTGAAAAACATGTTGGATCCAGCATCGGAAGGTTTTGATACTGCCCTTTTTTTTTTTGGTGTGTATGTATCTGCGTATTCAAGAGAATATCAGATAAATGATAAATAAAAAATCTAATTATAAATTAATAGTGTAAGCAACGTGTCTGGTGCAAGTGAGATTTGTGGTCTCGCTTGTGAGATAGATTTGTCCAGTATTGTTTTGCAATTAATTTTTCTAATTTTTCTTCATCTCATTTTTTGTACTGCTTACTTTCCACACATAGGTATAGTCTGAATGACATGAAAATATTTGTGAAAATTACAAATTAGCTTGCATGATAAAAAATAAGTATGAAAACATGGTGGTGCAACTGTGTAAAAGAACACAATAAAAGTCTTGAATATGACTTATAAGTTAATTTTTTTACTTCTTACGAGAAGACATAAAAACAATAGAGAAGTGATACGACTTAAATAAGTCAATAAGTAATTTATTTATGGTGTTACCAAATGAGCTCTAAGATTCTCACCTTCTAATAAATATTTGTCACACTTTCTCCTGAATTGTAGTTTTTCCAAAACATTTCCTGAAGTGCTTGTTTGAATTTGGATGTTTTGGAAGATAAGTCTTTGACTCCCAAAATACAACTACAAAAATTATGGATTTGATTTAGAAACATTCCAGTCATACCAACACATCCTATAATTAGTCTAATCAAACAAGGTGAAGATACCATCCATTTCCATTTCTCTCCCTTTCACTTCATTTTCCCTCTTAATTTAAACCACTTGTCTTAAATAAAATAAAAAAACCAAGATGCTCAAGGCTACAAGATTTTTAATTTTTCCCTTCATTTTTTTTCCCCCCTAGTCACAAATTCAAGATTCAGACACAATCTACTAACAAATTCACTTCAAAACCACCCATAAACTACTAGGGGGTGAAGAAAAAGGTTGCAAAAAAAAACAAAAAAAATCATGTCGGATACCTACAATTCGGCTAAAAAGCTACTGAAAAAATGGACCATAACCATCACATATTGGATCAGTAAGTTCACAACACGGCTACCAGAAAAAAGAAAAAGCTAAAAAAAAAACCCAAAACCATTATGCAATCTCCACAACTTAAAACTAGCTGTCAGAATGCAAATCACAAAACAGAGCCACACGTTACTCAGTCAATGCCAACTAGCATTTCAACCATTGAAATGCCATCTCATTATTTAAAGAATATTCAATAGTGCCGAAATCTCTCAACAAACTTGATGCAATCACATACCAAGCTGTTTTCCTTGCCCGCTTGCTAGGTAACACAATGACGAAGGCTAGTTTCATCCAGGGGGCCTAGTAAATACCAAGGCCCAAAGGAAGACCTAAGAAGAATTAAATACAGTCTACAAGGCCACCAAAGTTTGTGAAGAAATTTCAGGCCATGTAATCAATCCTATTAATTAAATAATAGAAGGGACTCATTTCATGATCTGCATGAAAAAACCATACCCTAAGTCTGTTTAACAGAGTATCATCCCATGTACCACCAACTACATTTCTATGTAAAGGCATGCACCACAGAATATAATATAAATTGACACCCGTTAAGAGAGGTAGAGTAATATAGAAGAGTTGTGGGGGATAATAATTGAAGGTAAAAATGTAATGCCAATACAATAACTGGAAAATTGATAATAAGTTTTGTAAACAAAATCCTGCTCAAACAATCTAGAGTACCATTCCAATACTTCCAACAAAACTACCAAAAGACAGAAATAGACAATCTCCGTGCACAAAACTAAGACCTTGGCTTCTCTTTCTTCTCCTTGAAGAGAGCCAGAAGGGAGACACCAGATACCTTCACGACCTTGAATCTGACACCAGGAATGTCTCCAACAGCATGCCCCTTCCGTCCAAATCCAGCAATCAACACCTCATCCTACAACAAGAAATGTTTAAGGTTAAGTCACCAAGGATGACTGCAAAATGATCATCCCAAGCTTTTGAAGAATACTTACATTCTCTTCAATGTAGTTTAAGCAACCGTCATTTGGGACAAATGCTGCAATCTTCTTCCCATTTTTAATCAGTTGAACCCTAGCACATTTTCGGATAGCGGAGTTTGGCTGCTTAGCCTCAATACCACTGTAAATGTCAGTTGGCCATTAGTCAGGTTTAATACTAAATGCAATAACCACAAATGAACATTTAATAAAAGGAGGTAAATGAAAGCATATTAGAAAAGGCATACATCTTCTCAAGGACAATGCCTTTGGCATGGGAAGACCCAGCAAAAGGCTTCTTCCATTCATTGCCAAGATGAGACTTCTTATATGCCTTGTCAGCCCACCTTTGCCTTCTGCGATGGGACTTCAGTTTGCGACCAGCTCCCATACCACGTGTCTTCCTGTGATATGCAAAATTTTCAGGTTCCAAAGCCATTCAACTGGAAAGGAGCTTATAACGCCAACTAGAGAAGTAACTATGCCATGTTTGGTTGCTCAGAAACATCTTAGCAAGATGATCTAAATTTGCCTATTTATATCCACCATTTTACAATTATGGAAGTTTCTTTTTGTTGTGGTCATTAACTGCTCTAATCTCAAGTGAAAACTTACAATTAACTTTTCATTTGAAATTAAAATTAAAGCTTTTCTTTGTTTTTTTTTACTAGGTCTAAGAAACATCAAGTTCATCTATATATTGGTTTAAAGCTTAGCACAAAGCAGAGAATAATGTAAAATATCAAATATCTATTTTACTTATTTATTTAATTTTATAAGGTATCAAACACCATTTGAAATACATAGTGAGGGTCTTTGCCAAGAAGCAACTATGTAAGCTTTGTTAATTTTAATGCATACTTCAAAAAATTCAATTTCCAACCAAACCACAGATTATAATGTTTTTTCATAAAAGAAGAACTCCCGTCTTTGTAAGAGATTCATGCCAAAGAAATCACCAAAACACACATGGTTCAAACAAGGTCATTCAACACCTTCCAAAAGCAAATTGAATATCTGAGTGCTATCTGTTAAATTTTAAACAGGGAACTTTCACTTTATTTTCTAATCCAATGTATAGATCTTGTATTTGTGAAGTGATTTACCAAGGAAAGGAAAAAGCCAATTTAATATAAACTTCTTTTTTTCAATTTTCATTCCCTTTTCGTTTCCTTCAACAAATCCAAGATCCAAACTCAGCCCAGATGTAATTTCCCACCATGTTTTGTTGCTGACAGAAAGATGAGAATTGAAAACTATAAACTTTTTAATCATTGAATTTACATTTACTTACACGTAAATCAATTGTTCAGTATATTTTCATTCAAGGTTTTAATTTTCCTTTCTTTTCTATTTAAGTTTCCACCGCACCAAACATATACTTCAAGAAAACAAAATCTATAACCCATAATCTGAACAAGAATAAGCTTGGTCTAAGCTCATAAACACAACCAATATACTGGGAAAAAGAAGAAGAAAAAGAAAAAGAAAACAAAAAGAACAGCTTTATGTTCAAATCCAAAAGCTACAAATTTATACACATATATAGAGAGATTAGAGCGAGTGATCATACCCCATGGCTTCTGAAAGAGAAGGTCTTCGACTGAGACTAGGGCTCGAGAGGTGAGATTGGAGTGCGAGGACGACCAAGCAGGTGTACTGAAGGCGAAAGCAAAACCCTAACCCTAGAAATGTAGTGAGGAGTGGGTATATATCAAGAAAGAGATTGGACTTTGAGAAAGCTGGATCTGTTGAAGATGGGCAGTTTAGGCCCACCCAATGTATTCAGATTGGGCCGTATTACATATATAAGGCCCAAATTAACTCAACTAAAATGTATATGGCATCATATATTTTTATGGGTTATTTACACCTTCCAAATTATTATAAAATATCACTGTACTTTTCTTATCTATAAATTTATTTGTTTTCACTCTTGCGTACTCCCTCCGTACCACCTCCAAACGGGTATATTTGTACGATTTTCAAAATAGGTGCCCAATATGTATGATTTTTATAATCGAAGAAACCATGTTTAATTTGTATGATTTTTATAAGAAAAATGCCTAACACCCCCAGTGGGGGTCACTGGGGGTCGCCCCTGATAGGCTGAAATTTTTTATTATTTTTTTTTTTTTGAATTCCACCCAACGGCAGTGCGCCACCTGCTACTGGGGGTCACTGGGGGTGCCCCCAGCTGGGGGTCTGTAGCATAGCCCTTTTTATAATTGAGGAATCGTACGTCCTGATCATTGGACTTTGTTTGGTGATTGTACCCAATTTATAGACCTCTCTAGACTACAAAACATTTTGTGGAGATATATTTTCTGAGTACCAACACGTGGCCAAGGTGACGCCGATGTGTTAGCTGAGGTCCACGTATCCTGGTTGTTATGCCGAGGTTACCTCTGAAGATATCGGAATCCGAGATAAGCAGATGAGGGGCAAGAGTCCTAGAATGAGAGAAGACTTCAGTTTGTATTAAGATAAGACTCTTAGAGAATTTATCCTAATCTTACTGAGAGTCCAAGATTAGCAGTAATCCTGAGTCCATAGAAATTAGGCTTCTATTGGGACTAGGTTTATGTTGGCTATAAAAGAGAGGCACCCCCATGGGTTTAAGGTATGTCTTTTTATGCTCAAGCTAGTGAGTTTAGCACTATTGATTATTTTTGAGAGATATTGAGTACTGACTTGATCGTCGGAGTACCCCCGGGTGGCGAACCACCACCGGAGTCTTCTCTTTCTGTTACAGGTTATTCAGGTGCCATCTATTCTGCCGGTGCTCTCCAACTGAATACTAAGATTACAGTGTGGTCAGATTTTCACCTACACAATTTGGCGCCGTCTGTGGGAAAGAAAGAAGAATAGATGGCCAATGAAAGAAAGAAGAATAGATGGCCAATGACGGACAGAAGGATCAGATTGGAGACAACGCTCCTGCTGGGAGTGGGAGACCAATCAACCTCGACGTTGAAGGGGACGACCGCAACACAGAAACTCGTGACCAGAGTCACGGAGTGAAAGACGCCGGCCAGAAAGGTGACGCACCAAAGACAACAGATCGAAGCGGATACTACAACGAAGATGACATCTAGGTATGAAAGGATAGATACCTGCGGAGGAACGAAGACCCTTCCAGAAGGGATGCAAAGACAGGGGGCATGAGCACTCCCAAGGAGATAACATTCAAGTATAGAAGAACTCATCCTAAGTGAGCAGATCCCGGATTCCAGACCTTGGATCCCGGATCCTAGAAGACATGATCTTGGCCTAGATGAGTAGGTCCGAGAAGAAAAGAGCTCAACTTGAGTGAGCAGATCCAAGATTTTAGCAGACAAGATCTCGGCACTTAAATCCGAGAAGAGAAGAGCTCAGTGAGCAGATCTCAGATCCCAGAAGATAAAAAAAGAAAACACACAAGGTTGGACTGTAGTTAGCCAGGTTAAAGACTTTTATAAAGTTCGCAAAGGAGTATGTGGAAGCCATGCATGGGGCAGAGAGAAGAAGAATATGTTTACCACTTGTTGAAATTCTGTGTGAATTTACAAGTTAAGTTAAACCGAAATCATTGTTTAACACTTGTTGAAATTTGTGGACAATTTACAAGTTAAGTTAAACCGAAATCATTGTTTAACACTTGTTGAAATTTGTGGACAATTTACGAGTTGAAGTTAAACCGAAATCATTGTTTAACACTTGTTAAAATTTGTGGACAATTTACAAGTTAAGTTAAACCGAAATCATTGTTTAAACACTTGTTGAAATTTGTAGCAATTTACAACTTGAGTTAAAACAATATGATAGTTTACAAGTTGAAGTTAAACCGAGATGATATTTAACACTTGTTGAAATTCTGTGTGAATTTACAAGTTGAAGTTAAACCGAGATAGTGTTTAACACTTGTTGAAATTCTGTGTAAATTTACAAGTTGAAGTTAAACTGAGGTCATATTTAACACTTGTTGAAATTCTGTGTGAATTTACAAGTTGAAGTTAAACCGAGATGATGTTTAAACACTTGTTGAAATTCTGTGTGAATTTACAAGTTGAAGTTAAACCAATGTGATATTTAACACTTGTTGAAATTCTGTGTGAATTTACAAGTTGAAGTTAAACCGAGGTCGTATCGGAAGAAGATTGGTTTAAACACTTGTTGAAATTCTATGTGAATTTACAAGTTATAGTTAAACTGAGGTCGTATCGAAAGGAAGATGGTTAAACACTTGTTGAAATTTTGAGAAAAATTTACAAGCTGAAGTTAAGCCGAGGTTATGATAAAGGATGATGGTTAAAACACTTGTTGAAATTTTTGAGAAAAATTTCTAAGTTAAAGTCAAGCTCAAGCACAAGCAATATCTGCGTACTTGTCGAGACTACCAGGTTGTCAAAACTTGAAATATGGAAAACTGAAGTCTTGATAGAAGACATTGAGAAAGTGCCAAGTCCTAAGCAACACTTGTGAAAATATTTGTTTTAATATTTTCAAGTGTTAGGACAAGGTCGGGATGAGCAAGATTAGAAGTTGTGACAGAGGTATTTTACCTGAAGAGATTGCACAGTCAATGTGTACTTTGAAGACATGCAAATTATTCTAAGTGTAGAATCATATAAGAGCAGAAAAAAAGAAGACATTCATTGAAAGAAGAAATTAGAGAAATGCATTTAAAGAAGAAAGAAGACACTTCGGCCTGAATATTGAAAAATAAATTATTCAGACTACAAAAATGGCACGTCGGCCGGATTAAAGGCATACAAAGAAGGACAAAGTACAAGGTACAAGGTACAAGGAGTAAAAGAAGGAAACAAAACTACTCGGTATCAATGGCAAGATATAGAAGACAGTTGGGAAGACTTCTCAGCAGCCTTCTCGGCCTCGAGCTCAGCATCGATCTCCCGAAGAGTTTGATCATGGCTCTTCTCGGCGATTGGCACCTCGGAGTTTGAAGGCAAGGATTGAAAGCAAGAATCTGGAAAAAGACACAGAAAACATAAACAAGAATGTAATTCGTAATCAAGAATTTTGATGAAGCTATCAGGAAATTAAGACAAAAAGATTGCACATGTGTGTCAAACCAAAAACAGCGGCAGAAATCAACAGATGTGTGAACAATGTGTATTCAAGAAGATGATTTGGAAACAACGGGTAAAACAGCAATGGTGATTAACAATGAAGCAGAGCTTCTTGGAAAGCAACAAGAAATAAAACCAGGAGGAACAGTGGCTTACCAGAAAGAGGGAAGACGGAATTGGCTATTTTGATGTGTTTGGTTTAGCTTATAGCTTATAACTTATAGCTTTTTGGTTAATAAAATTTAAGATATTGGATTCAAAATTTGTGTATGTTGTGTATAATAATTTTTTTTATTTTAGCATATATATAAAGTTGCTATGTGATACGAGGAGAATAATGTTTTACTTTTATTTTATTTTATTTTAACATATGTAAAGTTGTCACGTGGTATAAAAAGAAGAAAGTTTCACTAAACCAACTTAGGTCTTCACTTAATAATAATATAGATGTTTCACATTATGAACTCATAATTTATTTCGAATATATTTATATAGTAAAAATTAAATTGATAAAATAAGAGATTCTATGTGTAAAATAAATTTGAGCAACTGATTTTTTTTTGGAGTAAATTCTGAGTTCATAAATCTAAATTTATGATATTATTTCTTAAAATACAGAATATTCTGTAATTTTAAAAATTACAAATATTCTATTTTCTGAATTTTTATTTAACAAAATTAATAGAAAAAATAAAATTCTTAACTATTTTTCTATATAATAATAAAATTATTTAAATTATTAATTGAAATATTTTTTGGTGTACAATTTTAACACACAAAAAAATTTATATCACTATAAAAATATAAATATTTTTTCACTGTAATATCATTTGTAATTTTTCCAAAAGCATTTTGGATGATAAGGCCCCTCCAAAAGTCACACAGAGCATTATGAATACGTCCAGACACGACTATTTTTTTTTTTTAATAGGGAAAGTTGTAGGGAAGTATTTTGTGAAAGACAACATGTGGCAAAGGTGACGCCAACGTGTCAGCCGAGGTGCCACGTGTCCTGGTTGTTATGCCGAGGTCATCTCGGATAGGCCGAGGTTACCTCCGAAGATATTGGAATCTGAGATAAGCAAATGAGGGGCAAGAGTCCTAGAATAAGAGAAGATTTCAGTTTGTGTTAAGATAAGACTCTTAGAGAGTTTATCCTAATCTTATTGAGAGTCCAAGATTAGCAGTAATCCTGAGTCTATAGAAGTTAGGCTTCTATTGGGACTAGGTTTATGTTGGCTACAAAAGAGAGGCACCCCTATGGGTCTAAGGTATGTCTTTTTATGCTCAAGCTAGTGAGTTTAGCACTATTGATTATTTTTGAGAGATATTGAGTACTGACTTGATCGTCGGAGTACCCCCGAGTAGCGAACCACCATCGGAGTCTTCTCTTTCTATTGCAGGTTAGTCAGGTGCCATCTATTCTGCCGATGCTCTCCAGCTGGATACTAAGATTGCAGTGTGGTCAGATTTTCACCCACACACATTTAACCCATTTTTATCAATAATTGGTCAGTCATTCATAGGTATAAAAAAAAATATTTTTATTTATTTTACATTGAAATATATATTTTCCTTATTTGCCATTGTGTTTTTGCATCATTTGTAATTTACATTTAAGGTTTAGAAAAAATACAAAAAAATCCTATAATTTTGGT